AGGCTGTGTAAAGATGCCCCAGAGACAATCCAGCACATAACAGCAGGGTGCAAGATGCTAGCAGGCAAGGCATACATGGCTGTATGTATGTATGTATGTATGTATGTATGTATGTATGTATATATGTATATATGTGTATGTATGTATGTATGTATATATGTGTATGTATATATGTATGTATGTATGTATATATGTGTATGTATGTACACCACAAAGGCAGCGTAATCCGAGGATTTCTGGATGTGGAAGGACTCAGAGTTGTATTTGAAATCTGCTTTAACCGACCTGATAAACTGCCCTTTCTGTCAGGTAGTCTGTAATCTAGGAAACGAGGAGGAATCCACTCCCATCGCTGTCAGCTTGTCTGAGTATGTTGAGCTGGATGGTTTTGAAAGCACTTGAAAAACGAATATAGCTCTTACATAAGCATCAGATTCCTCCAGATGAACAAGCGCACAGTGACGCATCATTCACTCCAATGTTTGTATGCAGACTGAAGGAGGTCAAGTTCATCTTTGACCTCAAGTCTCAGTCAGTGTAGCAATCGTATCAGTGGCCACTAATCTGTAGTCAGTTAGTGCAGCTGGACAGTTTATTTTTGCCAAGGTAGATATAACCGTCAGGATTTGTTTCCACTGTGTCGGGAGCACGCGCTGGGCTGTGCAAATCATGGACAAACAATATCCATCATTCTTGATTTTTAGCTCACAAACACTTCTTATAATGAATAACTACTCCTGAAATTTCTGAGGTCTTAGCTCTTTATACAGTAAAGTTATAGTAAGATAGAAATAATTATCAGGCAAACTGTTGTCGGTTTGTTGAAATATTCCTGTCCAATAACACTTGAGAACAGTGAATGTGTCATTTCTGTTGTAACCCAGAAACTGAGCAGTAATTTAACAACACTAATGTTTCACTTTTTCACTAAAGTAAAACGTCACGACTTCCATGTCCAGTTTGTTGAAAAGGAGGCAGAGCCAACTGCTCCACGTGCTCCAGAGGAAAATAATTCTGTCGGGGATACCTACCTTTACCTTCCTTGGTACAACACTGGCACCAAGGACTAAGATTTGAGGAGCTGTATGTGTAACTTTTATTTTAGTTAGTATGATGTTCATGAGCTACAAGCCATAATAATGAAAATTAAATTAATGAATTACATTAACATGCGCAGCAGGGAAACTATGATTAATGTTAAAAAGTGTCCGGGGCAATGAAAATAATGTTTATAGTGACCTATGCTGCCTTGAAAAATAAGTACATTTTCATGTTGGAAAAAACAAATTGTTTTGAATGGGGCCACAATGCTGGGAAATTCTGAGACCTATAAACAAAATTATCATAGGTTTGATAAGGATAACTTGTGTGAGGATTGAAAACAATGCTGTGGGACTGTAGACTCCGAGGCTCTCTACTCCCTAACTCTAACTCAGCAGAATATTGTTACCAGATGATGTGTGTTACTAGCTCCACATATCGACCTGGTTTTGATGTTGGGACTGATTGATTCTCAAAACCACTTCTGTGACAGTTCCAGTTATACTAAATGTCTCTAGGATCATATTTTGCCACAATCGCCCACGGTGAAATTACTGCTACTCAGTCACAGGTGCTAATAATATCGTGTACTGTGAATGATCTCTCCAGGTGGCAAAAATTGTATGTTTATACATATGTAAACTGTACAGGATCGCTGAAGAATTTTTTTTTTTTTTTTACTGTGTGTGGTATTTAGTCTGCATGTGGCTTGCAATGTTTGGACTCCCATGCACCCAGACTGATGTTTTGCTATGTGTGGTTTTCGTTGTGGGCATGTTGGGAGAGTTACCAGATGACTAAGGGGTAAAGCACTTACTGATGCTCTGGAAAATGCATCAGCACCGTGGTAAACTGTAGTAAACCTTGCATTGCTTCAACATGTCTTTGTACACATGGAAATTGTGTTATTGAGGGATTCATATTTAATTTAAGTGGTCAACAGTACAGTACAGTCTAGCTGATGTAAACCTTTAAGCTGCGTGTGTAGAGGCTGTTTTATAACATTCCTCCCATCTGTTTATCCTTTAGTCCTTCAGTAGATACGAGCCGCTGTTGTCCAGCTGTCCTCCAGCTGGTTAGATCTCCTCGTCACTAAAACAAGTGAAAAAGACTTTTACAAGACAATTGAACCCTAACCCAAAATGGTAAATGCAGGTTAGTATCTTGCCCAAGGATATTTGGCACGCAGACTGGGGGAGCCAGGGATCAAACCACCAGTCTGATCAGTAGATGATGTGCTCTACCATCACAATATAATTCAACAATTGTTAATGCCTGAAATTAGAAATGTAAAAACTCCATCTTTACGATGTGATGAACCTGATGACATCGTCACAGTTTCTTCCACTTGTCTTTTTTTTCATCCACTTCACATTCCTGCTACACCCAAAGTGCACGCTGAGAAAAGACTTTAGCTTAACAGCTTGACAGCTAACTGTGGGTGAAAAATAACTGGGCTCATTTGCACCTAATTACGTGGTTTGTAAACCACCTTTTGACTATTTCCATTTTATGCTACTTTACATAATATATTTTTTGTTGCTTTTTAGTGAAATTGCATTATACACCGTGTCTTTTAGCTGTTAAACAACAAGTGAGTCAAAAATAATGTTAATTTTGTAACCTCCCATTCTCAACAGAGTTAAAGGATGATAAACCGAGTTATGTCATGGTCCAGTTTCCCTGTGCTGGCTCATTCTTTTCTCTTCTCATTTTCCTCTCACTGTCTGTCTTGCTCTGTGTGTGTGTGTGTGTGTGTGTGTGTCACACGTTGTGTTTGAGGGATGGGTCCTCCTCTGGTGTCCAATCCTTTGACTCTGTACACCTGAAAGTAAGTCATGATCTCAGCTGTTGGTAATTACCTGATTCCCAGTCTCCTACTTAAGAAGATGTTCAGTTGAAGCCTGATTGTTGTTTGAAAACAGAGAGTGAAGTCAGCTTCTTTATCTGCATGGTCCTTTGTTTGCTTGCTTTTTTGCTCTGTGACTATGTCTTAGTGGTGGTGAGACGAAGCTTCATGAAGTACTGAAGCTTTCCATCGAATTGGTCCACTCATGGGCTGAAGCTTCACGATGCTTCATTTGCTCCACTCTGCCATCAAGTGGACAATAAATGTAAAACAGACAAAGCATTTATAATGACATGGATTTGGTGTGCGAAGCTTTAAATTGAATAAATGAATGATGTTTGTGATGCTCACATACAAATTCTGAATATGGTCTGAATATGATTTTAATCTGTCTTTATGATACAATATCTGCGTCAAAACAGGAAAGTGGAAATAAATTGGGGAGAGTGTTGTGATGTGAATGTGCTTCTGTTACTTTATTTGTAACTGTCCCTATGTTACTAGGGAAAACATTTTATTTAAAAATAACTTTTCCACCACCCATCCATCAATTGATACCTTATCGTGGTGGTGGGGTTTGTGTGGCCCAGGGATCCCGCGGGCTATGTTGTCCAGATGAACAGAATCAACTTTTCAAGATTTCCTTACCTGGATGATTGGGCATGCATCAAGGGTTCATGTTTTTCAGATATTTTTTCCACTCCTCTGTATATTAGTGTTAACGATTGTTTACACATATAGTGCATTTTATCCTTAGTGTTACGAAGACATAACGTGACATCACCTTATATGTTTATATAAGGTGATGTCACCAATTAGTTAATGAAGCCTCAAGATGAGTATTTTGATCTTAGCTTTTTGAAACCAGATGTTGGATGTGCAGAACTGACTGAGAAATTGAAGGATTATGACAAATTGCAGTGTTATATCTGGGGGTGCAAATTAAGTCAAGGAAGGGAGGAAAATTAATCACTGTTAAAACACTGTTTTCCAACCAACGAATTTGGAGACTTTTCTAGATTCAGTTCTTAGTGGAATGCTTTTAGTCGACATCCAAACTTTCTGGCCTGAGATGCAACTTGCAGCTGTGGTTTGATGGTTGTCGGCAAGGCTTCTGTTCTTTGGTTCTTAGTCGGCTTAGTAGGTGGAGCATATCCACTCCCTCATCTGCACTATCTCAGCCCTGCCTCCCTAAATGTGTCTCCTAACTGCTCAAATTGAGCTGTCCTTCTTATAACCCTCTAACCACAATCCAGTGATTTTTTTTCTATTTTTTTGTTTTCTTCGTCCATCTTAAAAGCAAATTTCTGCAAAATTTTAACTTCAGATCTTTTTTTCTGTCATTGTTGTCATTGTTTTAAGCATGTTAGCATGTCACCTCTCTTGTGGTAATACTTGCAGAACTACAACAGAAATGACTTAAACAGAAACACCTCAGACTTTTTGAGGTCAATGAATGCATTCACAGGGTTCACTGTGAGGTCTTTATGCACTAGAATCAATGCAATCCTCAGGTGAAAACATTACAGCACTCGGTGATAAATGGTTGATTTGTAGTGAAAGAACAATAAAGTAAAAAAAATCAGAGTAAGAGTGGAGAAAAATGTTATTACACAACAAAAGCACATCCCTTTCCTGTCAAACCCTGTGCAAGAATCAAGTGTTTAGCACGCATGTAAATTAGCATGCATCCTTGCCATCTCATTAACAAGAGTGGGTTAGAACAACAACACACCAATACAAATAGTTCACCTTTCATGAATACACGGCATAACAGCCAAGTCAGTCGTGTTGTGCAGAATCCCCAAGGCTGGGCTGGTGCAGCTTGATGTGCTGAAGTGCTGAGAAATCCCACCACACGAACTGAACTGCTAGTTAAACCTGGCACTGTTGCTTTGATTAATGAATGTTCCTTTCATGTAAAATGATGGTAAAACTCTGCAACTGTACTTCATCGATGAATAAAACATTCAATTCAAACACCAACACGATCAATTCGGTTCTTTTTTCATTTATTTTCTGCAAAGTAAAAATCTCTGTTCAAAGTGCATTAGAACATCAGGTTGGCACAGGGCAGGTTTCATGACATCCTGCACATCAGTCACCACAAACACAAGTTTACCTTTAACACAGTCCACACTGGTTCCAGGATCTATGGAAAAACTATGAAATTACGGACATCAGTAAACCATCTTCACTTGGGGGGTAAAATCCACTTGCTTAATGGACACGACGACACAATCCAAGACAATTTGACACAGTATGAACTACATTCTGACTGCCATAAAAGACATTTATGTCCTCATTGCAGACACTCTTACTAACAGCTATAGATTATGTTGTTTCAAACAGACCTCAGAAAAATGGAAATACACCTCAAATAAACACTACAAAATGTTTTCATGAAGTTGCAATTTGGGTGATACTGATAACAAAAAGATATTTTAGGGGTTGTTTTGTCCATGAGAGGAAAAAGAAACAACGCAAAGTATGCCAAACACATACAGAAGCCTAGAGAGGTCATGGTTAGAACTAACAAGTTGTCATTTTTGCCATTTAATTAAAAAATAAACAAACTTTGGATAATGTGATTTTCCTAATTTCTCACAGAAAAAAAAAAAGGAAGAAACAACAACCCAAACAGAAATCTGTTTAATAAAACAGAAAAAAAAATGAGGAAAGATTAAATTTTGAGAAAATCTGAGGCTATTTTTTAAACCATGCAGAAACAGTCGTTTATACAAACTCTCCTTTCATGGGGGAATAACCATCTCTCTCAGCAAACTCTACAGTTGAGCTAAGTGATGTTCCTGCCTCCTATGCAGGGGTATTGCCATTTATGTATTTTTCCAGTATCTTTAAGCAAGGAACAAGATTTTAGGTACTGGAAGCTTTCTGAATTAACTAGACAATCGAAGAGGAGAACAAAAGACGACCGTCATCGTCTGAAACGTCTCAAAAGCATCAGCTATCATTTGATGAGGAGAAATCACAGAGCAGGCAGTTAAGAACTGCTTTGAGATTTACACATCAAACTTTTACAGTTGTTTTTTTTTTTATTGTACCTTCGGTTTTTATGATGAACAAAAACATATATATGGGAATAAATTCAAAACCAAATGAGACCAATGTGACAAAGACAATATCATTAAAAAAATAAAAAAGTTTGTTTGAGAAAAACAAAGATAACAGCCTGCCATACTGATCCCCTCGAGGTCTTGTGACCCAATCGGTGCATTGCCACAAGACAAGAGAGTTGTCTCCTCTCAAAGAAGAATGCGAGCAGCGGCAGGAAGGGTTAAATGCATTTACAGCAGAACAACATCTCAAACGGTACATTTTCATTTGAAATCTGTGTAGGTTTCAGATGAACCCAGAAAGGTCACCTTGCTGTTGTGGAACAGTTCAAGTTCCCTCTCGTTCAGTCACTAACTGATCATGGCTTTATGTTTCCCTTGGCTTTATCACACAAAGATGCGCTTCAGTGATTATTTGGTGAAGTTCCATCAGCTGTGTACTCTACTGGAAGAATACACCAAATACAATGTGCTCAAGAAAAGGCAAAGTAATTCAGTTTATGGTAATGGATACTGACTTCAAGGACCGCCTTTGTTTGTAGCGCACGGCTAAATCACTGAGAATCATTCGGCAAAGGACCGGAGGATGAAATCAGTCTGAAACCAAGACACTGAGTAGATTATATGGCAAAATGGAAATGCACCTGATCTCCAGAGTTTCTGTAATAGAAAGAGACCAGCCTCATGTGACAGAGCTTTTACTTATCGTTGTAGAAGGAATGTTTTTCATGAGCTACACCACCTCATTCTTTATCAAACATCTGCTGCTTTCTCTCTTTATGGGAAATAGTGTAAAACGTTTGCTCTTTGCTGAATGCAATGTGCACATTTGAAGGAATGTTGAAATGTAATGAAAATGACTGAATAAATGGCTTAACATTCAAGTTGCTTCTTACAAAGGCATGGGAAAGAGCACAGTGAGGCAAGCCAGACGAAGACTGGAGAAAACATACCAGTTACATGAACAGGCAAAGACACAATGCATTAATAAGACAATATATACTCAATATCTTTTAAAAGAATACATTCACTGTGAGAATCTAAAAAATATAGTAATAAACAATTAAGTATGGCCTTGTTCCTGTGATTCACTGGAAGACATGTGCAAAGGAACACTGCTGAAATGTCGTCTGTAGCAATGAAAGCTAATGAAATGTCAATACCTTTAAAGGAACCCTCTAACATTTGGAAAATCTGAGTATTTAACACAGTGAGGTTTGTTTAACATAAATCTGCCATTAATGGCTTGCAGTCCAATAGTTGAAAAGAAAAAAAAAATCCTTTATTTTTTCTGGTTGTTATTCACTGACCTCTATGGAAAACATCATGATCCCAGGGAAAGTGTGAAGGAGAATTCATAAAGATTTCTTTAAAAAGAGAATGTTGTTTGTGGAACTGCCATGAAAATAATAATGAAATAATAATAAAACCTGAAATTATCCAAAAAAAAAAGTTTGAATAGCCTACAGATGATCAAAAATATGAAATGCCGTGCTGGAGAGGACCTAGTTTAACTTTACGATTTATAATCTGTCACTTACATAAAACGAACAATCAGACTAAGGGTTGGCGTTACAGCAACTGTGCTTCTGTTTGATCTGAAATGTTAGAAATGTTTGTTTAACCTCCAAAATGATTCTAATAGCATAACTGCTCGTGAATTCAAGTTCAGTTCACACCACACCAATGTCATTTCTTTATAACGTGACAGCACAACCACATGCAGGGTTTAGCTGCTATAAAACGGCAGCAACACCTGCAATTTGTTCATGATGAATGTGCTGCTGATAGTCAGCAGTGACGGATACGACACCGTCACAGCCTGCAATCCTGCACAATCCTCAACTTTTCAAACCAACCTGGCTAGTTTCCAAAAATCTCAGATTTAATCCTCCTCAGAGGGCGGAGTAGTTCTAATGCTAGCCGTAAACACGGCAGGAGCTGTGCGTTTTAAGATGAAGCGGTGCTAGTGCGTCTGTCTGACCTTCAAGTGGAAGAGCTGCCAGCCAAACAGGCTCTGTGAGCGCGGCCTGTGCCGCATGTACTTTTCACACAACGGAACAAGTGAACTGACATTAACAGAGTGACAGTGGGTGGAAAATCCTCAGCTTGATGACTTAAATGTCTCTGTGGTCTCTCTCTGGCCCGTTAGCTAAAGCAGACACCACAGTGTGCACTCTGGCCCTGATCCACCAACATCAGGCTTCAACACACGCGGCCACATCTGATGGAAACTTAACCAGAGCAATGGAAACACATCTTGCAGTGTAATTAGCTGGCAGCAGCACCTGTGCAGCATTTTTGTCTTTCTGAGAAAACATCAACGCTTCTATAGAGTTAAGTTTTCCACATATTCATTTACCTTGAATACAGTTTGAGAGGCTGGTTCAAGTTCACCCGTCTGTGCTGATCAGATCCTGGTTTATACATAAGTCGATTTTTAGCTTTGCCATCTCTTATGAAAACTAAAATGATGCTTTACTGACCATTTCCATCACTAGACTATAAACAAGCCAGAAGTGTATCCAGACTAATTAATTGACTTCACATGAGGTCAAACTCAAAGTACTCACAGCTGGGATCTAATACCCTCTCTCTCTCTCCCTCTCTCTAATCTGCTGGTTTTATTCAGCAAATTATTCACTTATCAATTCTTTGTCCTGTACAAGGTTGTTGACTGGAAGCTTTTGCAGCTTCCCGTGGTCACGTGACTGTTCGCAGCTGATTTCAGATGGCACTGCCTGGTGTGTCGCTGTCTGATGAAAAGCAGGTGTGCTTGAAATGTCCCTAGATGTAATAAATGAGGAATCTGGAGTTCTGCAGTGTGCGAACAGCTACTTCTTTCTCTTTTATAGAAATGATGGCCAAGATTACAACAGACTAATACTACAACAGACCCAGGTGTCTCACACCTGTAACTGAGGACAGAGCTGCAGTAATTCACCATGTTGATAATGATTACTTTAGAAAAGCTTCAACGGTGAGTCTGAGTCTAGCTTTGTGGTTGGAAATTACAACAAGTGTGCATCATTCAGTGCCAGCTGTAGTTAAAAACGTGGAAAATGTGATATCTTAAAGACGGGAAGGGCCAAGAAATATAACGACACCACAGAAATATGGCAAATTTTAGCTACGACGTCACATTAGATTTCTGTCAAATGTTGCAAGGCAAGAGTGATTTTATACACTTAGATCTATGCGTGATTCATTTTTACCCCATTTTTCTGTAGAGTATTAATAACAAAACAAATAATCTACTTTGCAGTAAACAGTGCAACACTGTGTACAGGGGCTGGAATGGGAAGGTTCCAAAATGTGACTGAGATCTGATGAACATTTCTTCACTATCAAGGTTATATGTCCAATTATAAAGAGCAAATATAATAATAACTGTAATTATTATTGTTGTTATCAAATCAGCAACACCAAATTCCAAAAATGTAAACAAACACCGTCTAAAACAGTCATTTCTGAATTGAAAGAACTTCAAAAGTTGTCAAGCAGAAACTGTTTTGTGCACTGCTGCATGAAGCACTGAATAACTGAATTATCACTGTGGCCAATTAAACCACATTAAAAAGAATTTGCAATGTGACATGTTTTAAATGCCTTAAGCACAGAGCTATTCTTTGTCAGTTACACACCCTATTTGGCACTGAGATGTATGTCCATTGACTTTTTCAAAAATAAAATAAGCATCAAGGTAATGACAAGGAAATGAATCATTGGGCATAACATTCTGATTTGGTCCTTATATAGATGTCACTTGGGAAAAAAATGTTTACAAATTTAAAAAAAAAATACAATAAATTATTTGCTAGTTTGATTTTTATACAACTCTACTTTTAGATAATCTCGACATTTCTTACCAGCAGTAAATTAACTGATGACGAGGTCATCTGCTGAGCTTTGGAAACATCCCAACTGAGCCAGCCAACATCTAATCGATTCCAATCCTGTCAGGGGCCACTAGCAGAACCAAATGTAAGCTATAAGGTTTGAATTTTGACACCCCCCCCACAAAAAAACAGGAGCTGCTAGAAAACAGATCAGTGTGCATCACCGTTTTATCGTCAGTGTACCTTTTCCATTTCTTGCTGAACTAACTGGACCATCCTGTAAATTCACAGCACCATCTTACCATTCAGTTAGTCTGTCATTTAGTTTTTCCTGCTCCGAGTCAAAGAAAGAAAAAGCTTCATGAAATATAATTATCCTCTTCCTGTCTCATACCCCAGAGTCTGAGTACATGCCATTTATCAGATAGTCGACCTGCGTGTAGTCCTTCCTCTTGTAGCTGTCGTAGGCCAGTTTGACAAACACTGACACTGTGACCAAGAAGAAAAGCAGGCCAAAGAGCAGGACAGCCAGTAAAGACGCCGTATCGACGAGCTGCTTGGTCAGAACAGCCCCCGCCTCTTCTACCACAGGGACCCTCGTAGCTGAGGCAAAAGATTTATTGTGATTGGCCAATGCATCAGTACTGGCAACAGTTATAGCAGATGGTGATTTGGTTAAAGATGATGTCTGAATCGGTGCCACCTCAATACTGGGGTGTGGCAGGGCAGCCGATGGAGACGTGTCTGAACCATGGACGGAAGTAACAGCAACACTCGTGTAAGCTATCGTCACCGAGTGTGGGGCTACTGTTGTTCTTGTTGTTGTTGCAGTTGCTGGTGCTGAGGTTGTAGATTTCACAGGTGTAGTGACCACATTCTTAACAGACTCTGAAGTGGTTGCTGTTATACTGCTAGTGATGGTGGTGGATCCAGTATGCAGGCGCTGAGCAGGCAAGCTAGTGGGGGTAAATGCCTCTGGTGATTTGAGATGCTCCTGTGACGATGGCTGCTCAAAGGATGCTGAAGATGTGGAAGAAAGGGCTCCTTCTGTAATTTGCTCATTTTTGTTCACCGATGTTACAGACTCATTCAGTCTGTGGCTGACAGTGGTGTGGTTGGTGGATGATGAGTTCAGGGAGGACTGAGTGCTTGCATTTGGTTGCAGACTGTTATTATCCTTGCCTGTACTAGAGTGGGTCTGTGTGATGACATCTGAAGTGTTATTCGGGTTTAAGGCAGAGACTGAAGTGTTCGGTGGAGTGGTCACACCATCCAAAGAGGTCTTTGTTGTTGCATCAGTAGTACCTGGGAACAACAAATTCTAGTTAGCACAAACTAGTGAAACAAACATTCGCTACAAGCCAAACATACATTTATATTTCACTCGTATATTTGCAGAGCATCAGTTTGTACCTTTCAAAGAATTGTAACCCTGTAAATAGCCAAAGAGCTGTGCTATCTTCAAGATCGAGATACCCTTACAACCAAAACAAGTTTGGGAACTCTGAAATTACACTGATAACTGATTTAAAAAATGTTTATGATCACCATCTAAGTCAAAATTGTAGACAAAACCAATCAGACAAAATGTCTGTGAAGGTTCTCAGTCATCCAGGTCATCAAAGTCAAAGGAGCTTGGAGAGAAAAGCGTCTGGACTTCTTTAAGTTGCTTGAAGACGTTTCACCTCTCATCCGAGAAGCTTCTTCAGTTCTAAGGTCAAATGGTGGAGAGTCCCAGATTTAAACACAGTGGGAGTTTCCCCCCCACAGAGGGTGAGGATCATCAGGGGGTCCATTGTCCCTCTCGGTGGGTTACTCCCACACAGCTTAAATCTGGGACTCTCCACCATTATTTGACCCTAGAACTGAAGAAGCTTCTCGGATGAGACGTGAAACGTCTTCAAGCAACTTAAAGAAGTCCAGACGCTTTTCTTTGCAAGCTCCTTTGAATCAGACAAAATTAAAAAACATCAATTTTCATGCCTTTAGTGAAGCCAGAAGTAAGGTGGCTCAATAGTGAAGCAGATTAAACATTAGCTTGGCAAATGAAAGGAATACAGCAGGAAGGCATCCGGCATGGAACTCATCCAAAGCAAACACGTACAGCTGATCGCTTTGACAAGGAAGCAGCTTAAAGCACCTTTCACTGACGGCCCAAAGTAGTTAAACCTGTGTGCTATTATATCTACATTAGCTCCTTGGAGTCAGGCATCCTACTAAAAGGAGATTAGAGTAGAAGTGTAGCACATTCACTGCCTGAGTCGCTTCATTACTTGGCAAAAGCCAAAGAGTACAGCTAGGTTATGAAGGCATACCAGGAGGCGATGCTTTCAGACGGGGATGTCCAACACAACAGTAAACAAATGACTCAACAACGCAACGCTGGCACTTGAACTGTTACACTAACGGTTCATGGAAATGACTTATTTGGTGTATCTGGCTAAGAAGCTCAACCCACGCCCATCCTGTATGGAAAATACTGAAGAGTTACAAAGTTCAACTATTTCTGTTATTGGTAAAACTAAATGCTCAAAGCAGTTGTGCTTTACATAAAATTTCCAGGCAAAATACCCTCTAGGTTACTTTTGTGCCTTCATGTCATTATTCTATGCCACTACTGAACCATGTCATACTGTAAGCTGCAATCACTGATAAAATGGTCTTCAGCATTTCCCCAATAATAAATATCTTAATAGTAAATTTTGTTGAAATAATAATATTTCTTTTTGAGGCTATTGATACCCCAGCTATCCTCAGCAGTAATAATCATCCACACAAAATACAGGTTGCTTTAAAACACAAGTTGGCATTTTCTCACAGTCGGACTTTAAAATAACGTGCTGCCAGCCATCTGAACTTGGCCAAGAAGATGACTTTGAATGAGAGATCGGCCAAATTAAAATCAAGCAGTCTTTGTTTTTTGTGGACTTGATCACACCTCTTATGGTTTCTTTAACATTCCCAAGAAAGATTATGAATGATGAATCGTGCCTAGAGCTACATGAAGTGCATATTTTTGTTCAATTTAATTCAAATTCAGTTCAATTTTATTTACATAATGCCAAATCACAACAACAGTTGTAAGGTAGAGACACTACAATAAGGCAAAGTATAAAAACTCCAACAATCATGAAAATCCCTACGCACGAGTGCTTTGGCAACAGTAGGAAGGAAAAACTCCCTTTTAACAGGAAGAAACCTCATCAGAACCAGGTTCAGGGAGGGGTGGGGTGAGAGAAGGAAGACAGGACAAGAAGAAGAAACACTCATTGCATCATGGGAACCCCCCAGCAGCCTAGACCTAATGCAGCATAACCTGATCCAGCCCTAACTATATGCTTTATCAAAAAGCAAAGTTTTAATCTTAAAAGCAGAGATAGTGTCTGTCTCCAAAATCCAAAAGCTTGTTCCACAGAAGAGGGGCCTGAAAACTGAAGGCTCTGCCTCCCATTCTACTTTTAAATACTCTAGGAACAACAAGTAGGCCTGCAGTGCGAGAGCGAAGTGCTCTAATAGGGTGATATGGTACTACAAGGTCATTAAGATAAGATGGGGCCTGATTATTCAAGTATGTGAGGAGCAAGATTTTGAATTCAATTCTGGATTTAACAGGGAGACCCTGTCTTTCTACATAGGGTCTCGTCCCTGTCAGGACTCTTGCTGCAGGATTCTGGATCAACTGAAAGCTTTTCAGGGAGTTTTTAAGACATCCTGATAATAATGAATTACAGTAGTCCAGCCTGGAAGTAATAAATGCATGAACTAGTTTTTCAGAGTCACTCTGAGAAAAGGGTAGTTGGAGCCCATATTTCTATGACTCTATCCAAAGTAAACAAACTCAGTTTTATCTGAATTTATAAGCAGGAAATGAGAGATTATTATGGCTTTAAGACATTCCTGCGGTTTAACTGGTGTGTGTTATCTGCCTTTGTGGAGAGATAAAGTTGGAGTCTATTAGATATGATTCAAACCACTGCAGAGCAGTACCTGTAATACTTACCGCATGCTGTAATCGCTGTAATAAAATATTACAGTCAACAGTATCAAACGCTCCACTGAGGTCCAGCAGGACAAGCACAGATGTGAGTCCAGCACACATACAATGCTTATTTTGTACACTTTATCAACCTGGCACCAACGACAAATGACATATAGATACATTCGTGCCAATATTGTGACCATGAGTGTCACAACATTGAAGGATACTTGTGGCTGCCAGTGTTAGTAGATTCACCAATGGTATCAAAATGAAAATCCTACCTTGCCTAATCTTCAAGTTATTGTGTTAACAATGTTCGGTGTCCACACCGGGTCTCACCTTTTTCTTTTTTTAGTTCTGTCACAAGCTGTTCACACACTGCCCATGAAAACAGATTTTAAAAAAGCTTCACATGCTTACACAGAGAACCTCTAAGACTCCTGCCACATACTTACATCCAGAGGAGCAATTAACTGTGGGTGTTGAGAAGAAGTAGGCCCCATTTGGTCCTGTGGTGGCGGAGTCAGTAAGGAGCAGAAGCACACAGGGGGGGAGGAGAAGACACAGTGATACGCTCAGCTGGAGTTTTGAGGAATACAGGGACATGGTGGGCTGGGAGGGAACGAGACAGACACACGCTCACATAGACAGAGGCACATCCATATGCACACACACACACACTGGGTACAATGAAGTTCACACAGTCAACTTGTACAAACAATGAAATGAAGGAGGGGAAACCAGGAGGAGGTGAAGTCAGTTTCTGGTTGGACCTACAAAGACAAACACAAGCAAGAATCAGAAGCAGCCTGACAGACGGGGTCGATAAACTGTGTTCTTATAGATTTTCTGCGTCAGGACATCTTATTCTTCTAGTAAACAGAGACAGTCCTTAAACAGAAACATGTAAAACCACAATTACAGCTGTATTTAACATTTAGGATGACAGCATTTATTCATATTGGTTGGATCACTTCATCTTAACCTTTTGATGGAGTCTTATATTTTCTTACCATGTTTCACTCAAACAAGTAACACACATAACACTTACTGGGCCATTCAGCCAGATATTAAAATATAGTTACTATAATTCCACTGGTTAAAAATATACAAATACTCTCTCATTTAATAAGACACTTCAGGCCCTATCGAGACCAGCAGAGTCAAAGTTGAAGGATGTTACTAATGATTTGGTTCAAATTAAACAGTATTGTGGAAACTACAACTTTTTTACAATGTTCTACATTATCCAGGCTAAATCTTGGGATTTGTAGTTCAGTAAGGCGGATTTCCTGAAGCACGCCATTCAAGCCTCTTCACCTGCACAACAGTAAAGAGCAGTTAGTCCACCCAAATGTGAGGAATGACTACCATCTAGTGTCAAAACAATGCACATCTCAAGTAGTGCTCCTGGAAGAAGTAGTACGAGTTATAATCACCGTTATCAGTTATGAGTTTAATTAGACTGCAGGCTCAAGTTACAGAAGCACAGAGCTAATTATAGTGAAGTGTTAATGACAACATTTAGCTCAACAACAATTACTGCATGTATTTCACTTTCAAATGAAGAAGCCCAAACAAAATTACACATGAAGTGTCAGAATCTCTGAAATGGTTTTCTATACTGAAACACAGTGACACAGTGGCGCCTTTACATTCAAGTGTAGTGAGCAGCTTCGTTGGCTGTGCAAAGGGTCAGTCAGGAAAGATCCATCCAGCTAGTGTCTTCTTCCAAAGCCTTAGTACCATAACTACCACTACTGGCCAACCTAACAATCTCTAACGCTGCATTGTGGTTCACTGGAGTCCCACGGCTTCAGAAATGGCTCTATAACCTTTTCCAGACAGAGATCTCAATTACTTTGTGTCTCATTTGTTCCTGCACGTCCTTGGATCGCAGCATGTCGTCTGGCTTTTGAGGATTTTTTGGTCTACTCCACTTTGTCAGGCAGGTCCTATTTAAGTGATTGTGGCAGTAGTCAGGCCTAATCAGGTTTTCTTTCTCCAGTGTTTTAATTTGTTTGATGATCTGAAACATTTAAGTGTGACTGACATACAAAAAGATAGGAAACCAGGACACTGTCAACTGTCTCATCACAATCACAGATGAATCCAACCACAGTGTTGTCATTGGCATACTTGATGATGCTGGTTGGGTGGATTGGTGTACAATCATGGTGTACAGTAGGAGGCTGAGAGCACAATCCCAGACACACAATCTGTACGCTTACATTGCCGAAGAGGGTGCTGGCGCTTCAAGTCATATCTTCAAGTCGTATAAGAGAATTTTACTTTAACCACAGGCTACAGTATTTATTTTGATTGTCAAAGCTAATGGTAATAATCAGTGTAAATTACTGTAGGAGTCATAAATGCAATCAGGCAAAAATTAATGAATTTGTTTTGAAATTTTCTCCATATGTTGTAGCTAATATTCACGTATAAAGAAGGTAAGGACATGATTTATTTTATTTTTTTTGACAACTAAACTTCGAGTCATTTTACTTTAAAGGGAACACTTCAGTGTTTTGCAAACCTAAAGAGTTGTAGCTGATTGCACTGAAATGTACCACTTACAAGACTTTGTCCATAAATTCTACTACAATATCTACTCCCACTCAGCACCTAGACTACCTTAAGAAATTAAGTTAGAGATAAATCAAAAGATTGCGATAAGCCTGTAGTCACAGAAATCACAGTCCACGAAAACAGATGGGAGTGAGTGAGTGAGTGAGTGAGTGAGAGCCAGAAACAGCCAGCAAGTTTTGTGTGAAACCGACCTCAAAGACACTAAAAGTAAAGAATAAAATATATCAACATTACTTCTAATACACGAGTAGACAGCACAGTGCTGTTTAATGAGGTCTAATGTGATATATTTCCTGGCTGTATTCTGCAAAGGCTGAGTGGGATGAGTGGAGTCTGATGTCCACATGTAAGGCATCAGCTCTCCTCCACTCATGTGGAGCACCTTGTGCTTCTTTGGGAAAAATAACTAAAAACAAACTCCACTGCATTTCAAAAGCAGAAGCCATTACTGAATAACACACGCGGCATGATATTTGTGACAAATGCCAACAATATATCCACTGATCTGTGAGCACCAGTTTGGTTCATCAGGTTTCTGGTGCAGTTTTCCACGTGTGTAAAGTAACAGGGAGCTCCACAGGGAGTGTGCACTGTTATTTGGGGACCCTCCACATTAGGCCAGCCTTTACCGGATTTGTAGCACTGCCCCACAGTACACCAGGACCCAGATCTGTGTGATAGGTACTTGACTGTAAACAGGATGCGTTTTAGACAGCTGGGGCACAGGACCAGCCCTCAGTGTAAACAGGAATACTCGTTGAAGACGCCAACGTGGAAAGAGGAAGTGCCGCGCGCTCTGCCACGCTGCCGACCTGCCAATCAAAGAAGTTTGGGCTAAAACGGGAACTCCCGAGCACACAGCCGGCAGCTGCTTTAGCACCAAATAACCCAAAACATTACATCCGAGAAATGTCCCATTAACTTTAGCCGAATAAACAGAAAAAATCCAAAGCAACAAGAGTCAGTCACGTGTTATTGTGACTTCAAGTCAGAGCAGAGAAACGCAGCTGTAGCTCACACAAGCTAACACTGGGCCAAGTGAAAGCTGCTCCGAAGGAAGACACGGAGCTTAGTTCAGATGGGAAAACCCAAAGTTTAACTGGCTCGGTTACACAAACCAACAAGGTAACGAGCAAAACCACACCATCAATAATACAGTGAATAATGCTGTAATCGCTATGTCACCGGGCAATAAACACGCCGGGAAACGAGTTAACGGAGCATGATGAAGAGACATCTCCCCTCAGCGGCGAGTGCATCCACACTACCGAGCAGCTAACACTAACAAGCCACGGTCACGGAGAGTTACTGCTCACAGGCTAGCTACAGTCCGTGTGATCGGGGGTCCTTACCAGGCTTATGCGGGGGCTCGTTTGCTGTAAACCACACACAGGTACCCAGGAACCAAACATCTACACCTTCTGTACGAGACGCTGACCTTCTTCCTCAGCTGCGGTTCTAGCTGTGTTGACTGATAATCTATGTGCTCCCGCCCTCTGCTGGCCACACCACGTTAAAACAAGAACGCCTCCTATTGTTACAGTTTACCAACATTTATCATGACTAATACCAATACTTTCAATTCATTGCTAATAATGTTATTGCTATTAATATCTAAACATATAGAACGTTACTAAAGTTAAGTCTGTGAAGGTTCTCAGTCATCCAGGTCATCGTAGTCAAAGGAGCTTGCAAAGAAAAGCGTCTGGACTTCTTTAAGTTACTTGAAGACGTTTCACCTCTCATCCGAGAAGCTTCTTCAGTTCTAAGGTCAAATGGTGGAGAGTCCCAGATATAAACCTAGTGGGAGTATCCCCCCACAGAGGGAGCCAAGGTGTGAAACTGGGTGTGGGTCCCAATCAGCCAGAGTTTCGGGTGAGTTCATTGTGAAACCTGGCCCCACCTTATCATGCGAATACTAAAGTTAAGAAATACCGTTTTGACCAAACATATCAAGGCAGATATGAGCAGGTTTGCCTTAGAAATGCATAATAATAATAATAATAATAATAATAATAATAATAATAATAATAATAATAATAATAATAATTTACATCAAAATAATTTATTGAAAGGAACAAGTGAATTTCTAGATTTATATGTGTGGGCAGAAGGCCACGGATTCAATTTAAAATATTACAACTTCCTAAAGAAACAGCTGAATCACTGCCATGTCTATCCATTTATTAGCTATCCAACTAAGATCCCTAGCATGCTGCTGCAATTCCCAGTTATTTTACAAAATGGAAGAACATGGTAAATTTCACATTTCATTACAATCTCTTCTGGGAAGCAAAATGTTATATAGACAGCATGCTAAGACCCTAAACCAATGGTCCAAGGTACCACTCAGAATTTGTGTTAGTGAGTGTAAATCACCACTACTGGAAAAACATCCTAGAATATAAAAATCGATCACATCTGACCCAGATTTCACAGCAGACACAATCAATGGGTGCTTTAAATATTGGAACAAAATCGTTATTACCTTCTCCTGTTTGGTCCTGTCAGATGGAGATGGAGCTGTATAGCTTTCATAAAATCCAGGAAACTAATGGCTTAGGTAAAATTAACTTTTTTTAAAGTACTTTCAGGTTAGAGACTATTTTAATGACAAGATAAAACATTTAGAAATACAAAGGACTCCAATATAATTGACATATTTACTGACATGGATAAAACCAAAAGAAATAAGAAAGTTGTGTGAAGACTGTATTCAACTATCTAAACAATAAAAAAACAAAAATAACCTTTCAAAATCTAACTGGGAGAAAGGTTCCATACCAGAGGGTGATTGGCAGAATGTGTATCTAATGCAGCTGACTTCTACCAGCTCAGGCTCCTGGAGAGAATTTTGCTGGAAAAATGACAAATGGTTTGTGTCGGCAGAAGTGTGGAGAACAGCTGGCAGACCACCATATATTTAGGAGTTGGCCAGTCATTTTGCCTTATTTGGAGGAGGTAACAAAGACAACATAGAATGTACTTGGAAGCAAGATGAACCTTTCTTTTTGAATGGATTGTCTTATCTAATAGTACTAATAGTGGGGCGATCGTGGCATAAGAGTTGGCAGTTCGTCTTGTAATCGGAAGGTTGCTGGTTCGAGCCCCGGCTCCAACAGCCTCAGTCGTTGTGTTCTTGGGCAAGACACTTCACCCGTTGCCTACTGGTGGTGGTCAGAGGGCCCGGTGGCGCCAGTGTCCGGCAGCCTCGCCTCTGTCAGTGCGCCCCAGGGTGGCTGTGGCTACAATGTAGCTTGCCATCACCAGTGGTGAATGGGTGGATGACTGCATGTGTAAAGTGCTTTGGGGTCCTTAGGGACTAGTAAAGCGCTATACAAATACAGGCCATTTACCATTTATCAATAGTAATTAAGCAACTGATATTTATGCATTTTTTCCCTTTAAATGTACAGACTGATCAGTGAATTGATAGCATATGTATGACCAACTGGTAATGTGTTTAAGTTTGTTCCATTTGTGAAAAATACAGCTAAATAAACAGTTAAAAAGATACTGAACGTCAAGCTGATCCCCAGTGCATTCATCGGCGTGTGAGTGTTAGACAGAAAACACCTAGGTGCAGAAAAAAAGTGCTTGCATGAAATGGTGAATGAGGCATGTTGTATAAAGTGCTTTCAGTGCTTGTGGAGGGTAGAACAATGCTATACAAGAAGCAGTGCATTTACTATTTATTTCTAGACCCCATGCTTCTGTGCAGCCCTGCCAAATGCCAAGGAAAGCATTTAGCTACAGTTTTTAAACCCACCACTGACAGACACTCTCTGCATTTGTTTGCAGACTGCATTTAGGAATGACAGTGGCTGCTGAGCTTGTTTGTTTTTCTTTGGATTGCTCTGCATTTCTTTTTTTCCTTTTTCCTTTTGGTATTTTGTGTCCATTTCTCATACAAAGAACTTTAGATGTAGACGGGTCTTCCAGCAGAATCTGCATGAATACTGAAGATACAGCGGGGAAAATAAGTATTTGACACATCAGCATTTTCATCAGTAAGGGGATTTCTAAGTGGACTATTGACACAACATTTCCACCAGATGTTGCCATCAAGCCAAATATTGAATTCATACAAACAAATCAGAACATTGAAGTATACAAGTTGGATCATATTAAATAAAGTGCAATGACACAGGGAATAAGTATTGAACACACTTTATTTAATACTTTGTAGAAAAGCCTTTGTTGGTGATTACAGCTTCTAGACGCCTCTTGTATGGATAGACCAGTCGTCTGCATTGCTCAGGAGTGATTCTGGCCCATTCTTCCACACAAACGGTCTTTAAATCTTGAAGGTTCCTTGGGCCTCTTTTATGAACTTTAATCTTCAGTTCTCTCCATAGATTTTCTATGGGATTTAGGTCAGGTGATTGACTGGGCCATTCAAGCAACTTGATTTTCTTTCTTTGAAACCACTTCATTGTTTCCTTGGCCTTGTGTTTGGGATCATTGTCTTGCTGAAATGTCCACCCTCTTTTCATTTTTAGCTTCCTGGTAGATGGCAGCAGATTTTTATCCAGAATGTCCCGGTACATCTCTCCATTCATCCTGCCTTCAATAATATGAAGTCTGCCAGTACCCCTTGCTGAAAAGCAGCCCCAAACCATGATGCTACCACCCCCAAACTTAACTGTTGGTATGGTGTTCTTGGGGTGGTGAGCAGTGCCATTCCTTCTCCAAACATGGTGTGTAGAATGGCTGCCAAAAAGTTCAATTTTGCTTTCATCTGACCATACTATAGTCTTCCAATAATCCACAGGCTTCTCCAAATGCTGTTGCGCAAATTTTAACCGAGCCTTGACATGCTTTTTGTTCAGCAATGGAGTCTTGCGTGGTGAGCGTGCATGGATGCCATGGCGGTTCAGTGCATTGCTTATAGTTTTCTTTGAAACAACAGTACCTGCTGATGCAAGGTCTTCCTGAAGTTCTGTCCGAGTGGTTCTTGGCTCTTGGAGAACTCTCCTGATTATTCTTTGGACTCCTCGGACAGGGATCTTGCGTGGAGCACCTGATCGTGGCAGGTTTATGGTGAACTGATGCTCTTTCCATTTCCGGATAATGGCCCCCACAGTGCTCACAGGAACATTCAGCATTCTGGAAATGCACCTATAACCATTCCCATCACAATGCTTTTCAACGATAAGATTACGAAGATCTTGAGAGAGTTCTTTGCTTTTACCCATCATGAAGTCTTTCCTGTGTGCCTTCTGGGTAATGAGGAGCCTTTATAGGCCATCAATTAGGACTAAAGCAGCTGATATCAATTAGTACTGATAGGGGACAGGATTTCTCTATCAATACTGACAGATTTCAGGTGATCTCCTGGCTTTCTATGTCATTTTGCCCCTTGTTATCTTCATGTATTCAATACTTATTCCCTGTGTCATTTCACTTTATTTATTATGGTTTAACTTGTATACTTCAATGTTCTGATTTGTTTGTATGAATTCAATATTTGGCTTGATGGCAACATCTGGTGGAAATGTTGTGTCAATAGTCCACTTAGAAATCCCCTTACTGATGAAAATGCTGATGTGTCAAATACTTATTTTCCCCGCTGTATTATCTAGACGGAGGAATAATCACACGTGGGGCATCGGCTTTTTGACGGAACATTCACACCAATGTGTCTTTATTTATTGAACTCTCGCGTAGCATAACAGGAAGCATCCTTTCAAAATAAAACCCCAACAGATGCCAATGAGGACATACCTATTAACTAGCTCAACACCCCACTTGCACTCACATTGTCAGCTTTACATGCATTTCAAAAGAAACAGTTTTTCTTTACTATTTGTTTACACTCCAAACATATATTTTGCAAACTTCAATAACTTCCCCTTTGTTGCTGGCTTTGTCATAACATTGGCCACAATCAGACCTGTGGAACAATATTCCAATATCAAACTTCCAGCATTAACTGTTGATCTCACAAAATGATACTTGATATCGATACGCTTACACCTCTGTCTGTTAACAGGATTCTTTGCCAATGCAATAGTCCCTTGATTGTCCTCAAAAATCTTTGGTGGTCCCTTTTGATGCTCATACATGCTTTGCAACAGTTGTGTCAAGTACAAACATTCTTGTGTTGTTGCTGCCAAAGCTATGTACTCTGCTTCACAAGTTGATAAGGCAACAGTTGGCTGCTTCTTTGTTCGCCATGACACCAAAGTACCTTCTTCATTCAGGCTTATGCAGTAACCTGTAGTACTCCTCCTGTCAGTCACATCTGCAGCCCAGTCTGAGTCACTGTGACCTTGTACTCTCAAATCTTTTGTCACTTTTCCTGTAGCACAATGTCTTGTCTTTTGATTGTTTCAAATACCTCAGAACATGTTTCACAGCAGTCCAATGTTCTAAAGTTGGTTCTTTGAAGTGCTGTGACAGCTTACTTACAACAAAACTCAAATCTGGTCGTGTGCAAGAGGTCAAGTAAATAAGGCTACCTACTGCCTCTCTGTACAT